GGCAAAAAATTACAAGGTAGTAATACTGTCTATATTCTGCATCTCTCTGTATTCATCCATGTGCTTAGACTACAGACCTTGTGTAGGAAAAAGTATGATCTTCTATGAAATATAAACTGAAAGACTACTTGTTCAGAAACACCAAGTGTTTAAGGCCATCTGTGAAATGCTATTGAGGCTTTATGTAATTTGTATGCTTTAGCCAGTGTGGGACAGATGATTCACCGTTTACATTAACAAACTGACAGCGATCAGTGAGGCACACACTTCTACTACTCTTTCAGCAATATATACACTACTGATTCAAAATACTGAAATCTTCTGTCATTTCATATGCAGTAACCTAATAAATGAGTATATATTTAAGTAAATACATTTAGCTTTCTGTGGTCAAAAGTGAAAACATTACTACTAATATTTTCCAGTAAACTTAGTTTTACATCAGACAGTTCTTAGAAAGTGAAAAATCAGTCTATCTATTGAAATTTGCATTCAAAGAAAATGTTCAGTACAGCTTCTGAGATGTTTTACACAAAAAAATCACCTGATGATTCAAACGTCGTTGCGCAGTGATAAAATCAGCAATTGCTGTTTCAGTTTGCTTCTTTTGGTATTTAGTTTCATGTACAACCACTTGACACATTTGACTTATGTAACCTTAATGCACTGTTTTGTAATATAGACAAGAAACTATATTACAAGCAACACAGAGGTGCCAGACATCTAGTGCTGTCACAGTCATGAACTTTTAACTGACGTCTTTTCTTGTTCTTTGTACACAACTATTAAAGTACAAGCCTAATTTGGCCAAATTGGCTGCTTAGCCATCTTGCTTCCTAGCTATGTTTACTTAGCAGCTGCACATACATATACTTACACAAATAATTAGTTACACATAATTATGTGTAGTCAAACATAACTAAATATTTTCACATGAGAGAAAATAAAGTACATATAAATAAAACTCATTCTGTCAGCTCACATGCTACAAATGTTAATTAGTTTTAATGAGCCCCATGATGTCTCAGTGAATGCATTTATTTGTTCATTGGAGTTTATATTTGAATTTATATTTATTTGCCTCATCCAGCACTCACAATTCACACACACATTCTGTTTATTGCAGCATAATATGATTGTAAAATCTAACGACTGTAGAAAATCACTGCAGTCAGTTTAATAATTGCGATCAATTCAAACAGTTGTGATTTATCTCAAATAACTGCTAATCAACAGACTTTAAGGACTGTTTCTAATTATTATTCATAGGCATTTTTAAAGAAATGTCCCCTTCTCTGAACACATTCTTTGTCATGATAAAGCACTAGTAACAAGCTTGTGTACTAATGTTTTCTTTTGTTTTCAACAGTGCCATAAGGATTCTATATTTTTCATACCTGATCATACAAACTGTGTATATTTACAGTTGTGCTCGTCTAGTGCAGAAGTGTCAGAATGTGGAGCGGCAGCACCAAAATTACTCAGAAAAAGACTGGTGTGTGTTGATATTTTGACATTCTGTTTAATGGAGTTTGTTTCTTTGTTTTCTTTAGAGTTTACCTAAAAGCAAATCTAAGTGAAAATTCTCTTTTACTTGCAAGTAGGAGACAAACAACAAATGAATATGATGCCAAAATGCTGTTTGAGTGTTAATTGGATTAATATAAGAGAATTCTGATTTGCTAGTCTTGTTCAACTTGACATGTTTAATGATTAAAAAGAAATGAGAAGAGAATTTTAGATTTTCTAGAATGATGAGAACTGTAGATTATTCTAAAATGACTTAGAAATCAGTAAAACATAAAGAATTAAATGATAAAGTGATTCACCGATACAATGTCAGTATTGGTGCCAATAATGGCAGGTAAGCACAGTGTCAGTATCAGTAATAGAGAGCACTGATACCATGAAGCGATTTGTTCCGTCCACACACACTTCTGGGCGACGTCAGCAGTATGGGATGACAAGCAGTAGTAAAAGTGCTTATTTCAAAAACTTTAATATATTTTATGTTTTAGTAATTAAATGCAGTATGTTTTATTTGTCAGTAGAGCACTGCTTTTAACAAATTAATTATCTAAAAAATATTCGTCTAAGCGTTGGCTCTGTCATCAGGAGATCACGACTTTGATCTCGACTGATGCTACAGCCGTCTGTGGCTGGGAGTCCAAGTAAGCACAGTTGTCCTCGCTCACTCTGGGTAGGCAGGGTTGCCCCCATCTCCCCCCATCACTAAGCGCGATGCTAACCAGCGCAGGCTTCTGTTAGCTGACATGACAGAACTGGCAGTTGGTGTTCTCCTCCGAGCGCGTTCAACTATGACGTTGTGTCAGCGGTTCGTAAAGATACGTTTTGCTTCACAGGTCTTTGAGGAAGCCTGTGCTGGCCAGGTATTTCTTTAGTGTACACATACATGTGCATTACAGGCTCAGTGTCTACTCAATTAGAATGTCCAACTTTGTGCTTCTACTCACATTATAGGTCTACTATTTAATACGGATGCACAGTGACATCAGCATCTTATTGGTATTGGCTGATATTGATATTGGCTTGGTTTTTTTTAAGAATCATCAGCCGATATTTGATGACACGTTTACTGTATGCCAGAAGAGCAGCATTAATGTTTAGGTGATGCTGGCTGCAATACAGCACTCAGCTAGTTTCTCCTTCAGAGATTAAAATTTATATATATGTGTGTGTGTGTGTGTGTGTGTGTGTGTGTGTGTGTGTGTGTGTGTGTATGTAGCCCAAAAGCTATATTATGGCGAATTTTATGGAAGTCATCGCTCTGGATGATCAGCCATTCTCAGTTGTGGAGGATGTTGGGTTTCGACGGCTACTTGAACATCTTGAGCCACATTACACCAAACAGTCATCAATATTTTTCTGACATAGCCCTATGGGAGCTGCACAACATGGTAGCAACATGTATTCACAAGCTCAGTGGCAATAGTGTGACATCCATTAGCCGTACCACATGATGTGAGTTCTGTGAGTACTCACAGTTTAACCATGCAGTGGATAGACAACAAATTATCAAAATATCTTGGTTCAATTTCATTTTTACATGAAATAAAGCCCTCAGCATCTCTTATCATGCTTGGCATCCGTTTACTACCTCTTCACAGACGGACTGTTTTTGAGCTAAAAAGGCTAGGCTAGTAATGTTAGCTGAGGTAACATTCGTATCTGTCTGTTTACCCAAAAGACTGGCTGCCTTTCTCTGTGTAAATTCCAAGCCATGTGTGACGTACTGTGTCTTTCTGTGGTCTCAATACAGTTTTAATTTAGTGTAATGGCAGAATGCTTTGTAGTGCACTGTGACACGCTGTGGAAGTCTCTGATCAGCATGCGGCGTGTTGGCATCAGACATCGGTATTGGCGGATATGTACCTGTAAAATATCGGCCCAGAACTCATATATCGGTGCATACCTACTATTTAAGTGTACCATTTCAGACTGTAGTCCGTCTCACAGGGGTGCTGCTGGGATTTTTAGTGTGTCACTTGTTTTAGAGGGAATCGCCTCCCAAAAATATTAAGCCAAGAGTGGATCACTGGAATCCCAAAGAGTCTTACTGGTGTAATAAGAGGAGTCTTGCCTGCATAAGGAAAAAAACATGGTCTCCTGTTGGCAGTCCTACCAACCACTTTTAGTAAGGCACCACTTACAGAAAGAAAAAATATTTCCATTTTGATATCCTATTAGTCTGCCATGGGCTAAATAAACAACAGAAAGGTTAATCAACATTGATAAACACCGATCAGGCATAACATTCGACCACCTCCTTGTTTCTACACTCATTGTCCATTTTATCAGCTCCACTTACTATATAGGTGCACTTTGTAGTTCTACAGTTACAGACTGTAGTCCATCTGTTTCTCTGCATACTTTGTTTGCCCCCTTTTACCCTGTTCTTCAGTGGTCAGGACCCCCATGGACCCTCACAGAGCAGGTACTATTTGGGTGGTGGATCATTCTCAGCACTGCAGTAACACTGACGTGGTGGTGGTGTGTTAGTGTGTGTTGTGCTGGTCTGAGTGGATCAGACACAGCAGTGCTGCTGGAGTTTTTAAACACTGTGTCCACTCACTGTCCACTCTATTAGACACTCCTACTTTGCTAGTCCTTGTAGATGTAAAGTCAGAGACGATAGCTCATCTGCTGCTGCACAGTTTGTGTTGGTCATCCTCTAGTCCTTCATCAGTGGTCACAGGACGCTGCCCACAGGACACTGTTGGCTGGATGTTTTTGGTTGGTGGACTATTCTCAGTCCAGCAGTGACACTGAGGTGTTTAAAAACTCCAGCAGCACTGCTGTGTCTGATCCACTCAGACCAGTGCAACACACACTAACACACCGCCACCATGTCAGTGTTACTGCAGTGCTGAGAATGATCCACCACCCAAATAGTACCTGCTCTGTGAGGGTCCATGGGGGTCCTGACCACTGAAGAACAGGGTAAAAGGGGGCTAACAAAGTATCAGAGAAACAGATGGACTACAGTCTGTAACTGTAGAACTACAAAGTGCACCTATATAGTAAGTGGAGCTGATAAAATGGACAATGAGCATAGAAACAAGGAGGTGGTCAAATGTTATAATAGGTCGGTGTATCTAAATTTAATATATTAAATGTATTTTTGATATACCTGGACCTATACCCAATAAACTATGGAGAATTATGCAGTTTTGACGGGGTGTCCTGTTTTAATCGGTGTAGCTTTTCTAGCCTTTACGGTACTTTAGCGGACTCACAGACCAATCGCATGCATTGTAAATATCACACGTGACGCTACTCAGCCAATCAGATCTGTGCACTACGATGAGCACTGAGGCTCGAGTAAGTGACACACACACACACAGGGGAGGGATGAGGTGAGAAACAGCAGTCGGAGAAGAAAGTGAGTCAGAGGGAAGTTATTTTACATGTCGTGCTCTAAAAAGAGAAAACTGATAATAAATGTTGAAATATGACTGAATTGTACTTTATTTGATGTGTCATTCAGTTGTTGACTGTATAAGATGTTGATAAACCTACTAGGCTACTTCAGTAAACAGTATATGGCACTGAATCATGTTGCAAGTTAGACATTATGATGTTCTGGACCTTTGCTTGAGGAAAGTTTCTCTAAGTGGACCTTACTGAATTTGAATTAAAGACCCCTGTCCTAGAGGACTTGTTCTGCTCAGATTACTAAATGTAAGAATTGTTTTCAACTGTATTAATTACTTTCCATTAGTGTTTCTAGCCTACATGACTGTTTTAGAGCTACTGTGGTTGGCTATGACTGCATTCAGTCAGAGCAGACTTATAATTGAGATGGTAGTGTGAGTGGTGCTGGTGCGAGTGTATCAGATGCAGCCATGTTGCTGGGGTTTTTTTACACACGTCAGTGTCACTGCTAGGTTGAGAGTGGTCATACACAGCCAAAAGTGGCCCAGATGAAGGGCTATAGGAGGGCCAACATTAGTGTTACAGGGTTTATTAACCTAATAAAGCGTACAAAGTGTGTAAAAACTCTAGCAACAATGCTACTATGATGCACTCATACCTGAACCACATGCACTACTTAGGACAGTGTCACTGTGGTGGTCCTTTTCCATTGAAGGAAGGGGTGGGGGGCGTTGAGTAAATTGTGCAGCAACAGATGGGCTGCAGTCTGTTAAATGGCTAAGGAAGGTCAACGTGAGGTATACATTAACTAAGCAAAGGCACAGTTAAAAGAAAATCAGTCACATTTAATGATAAGAGAAACAACAAATAACACACGGTAATAACTACATCAGTGTCTACTATTAGTAGTTTATAAGTATGTGAGACTGTTACCAGGTATAAGATTTGACTAAATGTTGTTTTTTGTTATTATTTATTTAAAGCTGTAGAAAAGCACATGATGAAATATATGAACACGTGCAGGGTACCGGGTAAGAGGGAGTGTGTCCGTGTCTGGAAGAAGAGCCGCAGGTGCTACAGAACAGAACCTTGACCGGTTTAAAATACTACATAAAAAACAGAACAACTGCTCTGAGAAGACAAACCAGCTCAAGTTAACCAAAAAAAAGAACTACACTCGTCTTACCCTGTAGTGCCATTACAAGCATTTCTTAATTATTTTTTTCTTCAATATAAAGCTTCGCTTGGCTCAACTGTACTTCTTACAAGTATCCAATGTTAGAACAGTGGTAAATCTGAAAAGGTTTTTTTTGGGGTACGTTACAACACTGTGCATGTAGCCCTCTGCCATGCTTTTGTTTTTATATCTTAAAGGGGAATTCCGCTGATTTTTCTGAATGCCTGCATTATTCAGTTGTTGAGATGAAGTCAATCAGTGAGTTTTGCTGTGAAATGGTTCATTTTACAGAAATTTTCTGACTCTGAAGTCTTTACAGTGGTGGTGATAGAAACCAGGGGTCACCATGACTACAACACAAATATAGACATTTTATTTACTATCCAGAACCACCAGTGAACCTACACGAGTCTTCTGAGTTTATATGGAATGTTGATGGTAAAATAGTGGAAAATCTGGATTAATAAGTTTTCTTCAACAAGAACTGTTGTGTCTTAGTGTCCTGCATGGACCACTGTGTGGTAGATTTAAAAAAACATTTTTAGGCCAAAACCTTCTAAAACTATAATAAAATGGACATTTCAGACATCAGGCAGCATATTCATAACTATTTCATGTACTAACTCTGTGATGGCACTCACATCACTGTGAACGACTCTTACTCAGCAGGTTTTTCTAGAATGCTGCCTTTCATGCCAAACCACTGACTTTAATTACACCTTAAAAGGAATTTCATTATGGAGAATTGGTGGAATTCCTCTTGAAAAATTTAAAATGGGTAATTTTGTCAGCGTATCTTCAAATTAATGTCTGCGGCACAAATATAGCCATTTTATTTACAATCCAAAACGACCAGTAAACCTACACGTCTTGAGTTTTGTATGGAATGTTGATGATGATGATCTTAAATTGTAAAACAGTGTTTCAGACATTACGCTTTGTATTTCTAACATTTCGTGTAACAGTTTTTTATCTAGGGGAATTTTGGTGTTAAATGCTTTAGAAATCTGGTTTCTGTCATCACAACTGTGAATAAGTTCAGTGTCTGTGTGTATCTTTAGAACGGCACATTCAACATTTAATCCACTCTGAATGACTCAGTCTTAATGTGGAATTCCACAGATGTGTTTTTAGGTTTTCCACATTGTTCAATTGTTAAGCTAAACAAACTTTATGACTCAGATTTCTTTACAGTGGTGGTGATGGGAACCAGGGGTTCATGACTACAACACACAAATAGACATTTATTTACTCTGCTAAACGAGTTTTTATATGGAATGTTGGTGATAAAGTAGTGGAGAATCTGAAATCATTTTCTTTCAGTACCTTTCAGCACAGAGTCTGAAGACATTACACTTTAGACCAAACAACTGTTAAGCGGTGATTGCTTAGAGACTGTAAGCTTTTAGTTTAGTTTAGTTTTTTAATCCTAAACTCATGTGATGTTTGTTTTCTACAGTTTGTATGCAAATTTAAAACGTTTATCTCAGATGTTTTAAACTAAAGGAATTTAAAGTATACTGTACACTACGCTAATGACATTTCAATGTGTTAAATGTTACTTGTAATAAGCATTTGTGTTTAGTGCTCATAGTTTAAAGAAAATAAATGTTTTTAACTGCACATCAGCTTTTTCTTCCTCTCCTGTCATTCAGTGTGTTACATTAGAAGAGTCTTAGCAGATTTTGCCCACTGTGGATTTTGCAGTGATATTTTAAAAAGGAATTTTAGAGCCTAATATTGATTGGTTGAACACACTAAGCACAAAGTGAAAAGGTTACAGATTTTGCATAGTTTCTGCTACAATTTGATTCACAATGAGAATGATTTCCATTTCCACACCTTTTACATACTTTTTTATTTGGAGAACAGAATCTCTGCAGATTATTATACCATCATGCGAGACACTGTGGTGTACGGATTAGTCCAGTGCATCAAGAATCACAGCAAACACATTTTAAAATCAAAATAATCCAGTGACTTCTTTAGGGAGAACAGTATAAGGGGTTTGGTGTATTTGGTTCCTAATTTTAAATAGAATGTCCTATAAGTTCACTTTTCTCAGAATTTGTGTGTGTGTGCGTAATGTTGTCCCCAGAGTGGACCTAAAAAATGCTCCCAAAGGTGAGGTAATTTTTCAGACATGTATAAAAAAGGATTTAACAAAAATCTGAACTGATTTGGACAAAAACCTGTAACTCTAATCACAACCTATTTTCTCTCTGAACCTAAAGGAAAGTGCTGTTCCCAAAGTTGGGGTGTTTTACCACACGTTCCCAAAGGTTTCCTAAGCGAGTGTGTGTGTGTGTGTGTGTGTGTGTGTGTGTGTGTGTGTGTACTTACATTTCTTCAGTCCTGGTTTGATTCTGTTCTCACCTCCATGTTCCAGTCTAAACACACACACACACACACACACACACACACACACACACACACATTAATATATTCATTCAAATGTTATCATTATCTCTGCTCTCTCTCTCTCTCTCTCTCTCTCTCTCTCTCTCTCTCTCTGTCTCTCTCTCTGTTTTACATTTGTCCAGTGTAAAATCACATCTATACTCAGACACACTTAAATACACTGATGTGTGATTAAGGTTGTGTGTCAGTCTGTTCTCTGTGTGTAACAGCTGTAAACACATTTATCTGATAGTTTAACACATCCTGGTGTCTCTCCTAAACACATCAGTATCAGATCTTCAGTTTGAATCATTTCCTCTTCTAATGGTGGATCTCAGTTTAAACTGAACTGTAATAATCTTCTCTGAGGTCTTTATTTTTACTGCATGAGGAGAGAAAGTGGTGTCTGTTTCTGTTCTGAGCTGCTCTGATTACAGAGTCGTTCTTCTCTGGGCCTCCAGTGTTTCTTATGGAGCCTTTTCTACATTATGATCTCTGAGTCTGTACATTTTAAAGTGTTTCTTTCTTTAGGATGTTTATTTTAATCAGATAATCTGATTAAATCTGTGTGTTTCTCTGTTCAGGAATCTTTAACATTCTAATTTACTAACTCAGGAAATTTCATTGATCCAGTTATTGATTTATTGTTTTTGGTGGGTTTTGTGGATCATTCTGAGTTGTGTTGGTAAGAGAGTGAACTGGGCTGTGATTGAAGGTGATGCTTATCTTTGAGGTCTGGGGGTCTGTGGGGGTCTGTTTATCTTTGAGGGGTCTTTGGGGGTCTAAGGGAGTCTGTTTCTGGGTGTGTGTAGTTGCTGAGAAACACTGTGTGGTGGTCTGACTCTGGCTGTGATCAGTGAGAGTGGGATTGTAAAGCTCTTTGTAGTAGTGGGGGGGGTCGACCGATGTGCTTTTTCAGGGCTGATACCGATTATTAGTAATCAGGGACACCAATAACCGATATTTGGAGCTGATATTCATTTACCATAAATTTGATGATTGTAGTGTGAAAATGTACAAGAATGAAACTCACAACTTACAGTAAATGAATATTTGAACATTATAAAAATAAATCATCACAATACACTCTCTAAACACCACACACTCTACACACATTCCACACACTTCACACCCAACACACACTTTACACACCACCCACCCTACATACATCACACACTCCAAACACACCTCACACTCCACACAGTTATTACACACACACCTAGCAACCAACTGGGAAACCACAGTAAATGGCTAGAGACACGTTACCAACCACCAAGTATACCATAGTAACCATTTGTTAGCACCCAGCAACAAAAAGGAAATACATTTTACTAGTTTCATTTCGTTGTTGTGATGACAAACAGTAGCTGGAGGTGTTAAATGCATCAGATGTAAATGTGCTGCATGAGTCGATGGAAACAGCCCATTTAGCCCAAACAGAGTGGTGGAATTTTTGGAAGTCGTGACCTGCAGCTGTTTGTACTTTTAACCCGTGAAAATAGAAATGAAAATGACTAGAATTGTCTAGAACCTATGTAATAAATGTAAAATGATAAGTTATGATTCTATAAATAATTCACTGCTTTCTGGAGGCTTGTTGGTGTAGTTGGTCCACTGAAGCTCCATTATTGGCACAAATATTCTGAACACATTCAAACTACAGAAGCAGTGTGGATTTGTGTCCCATATGGTGTCTTTTTATAAATTATCGGTCCCCATATTTCACTGCCATATAAAAGTATGGATTTAAATACACAAATAAACATTTAAGCTGAATTTGAATTGGTGGGCTGAGTGTGTTCACTGATCTTTTAATATTCCTTTCTTGCTTTTTCCACCGATGCATTCATAGTCCTGCTAAAGTTACCAAATGCATTGATTAATATCTCTATGTAATTATATTCCATAGTGTGCTGTAAAGAGGTCCCACCAAATGTAAAGTGTGTGTATGATTTGTGTGATCTGGCTTTTTCTATTGAAAAATCTTTTGGTTTGATTGATGATGTATAATGCTCAATTTTGACCAAATCATCTGAGGGAATTTTATTTAGTTAACAATTTATTGAAGCCTATATTACAAATCATATTCATGTCAAGTAAAGTCCGACTTAACGCCAGGTATAATTATATTTACTGTTACTTTATCTTTCACCAAAAAACAAACAAAAATAAACAAGTAAGTAATTTGCTCAATATTAGAATGAAACATTAAAATGAAATCATTAAGTGGCCATTAAATGAAACCTATTATGCTCATTTTCAGTGTTCAGAGTTTTATTTTTGGGCTCTACTAGAACAGATTTACAGCTTCAATGTTCCAAAAACACATTATTTTTCTCATCCTGTTCATCTCTATTCACCCTCCGTCTGAAACACTCTGTTAGAGCTCCTGTGTCTTTAAGCCCCGCCTCCTGATGAGCCCAGTGAGCTCTGATTGGTCAGCTCGCCCACTCTGTTCTGACTGATCAACTGCCAAAGCAGTTCCGCCCCTACATGTTCCACCCCTGCCTAGAACACTTAGAGCAGAGAGAGGCCACAGCAGCAGACAGGATGAAGCACTTCAGCTGCATTCATACAGAATCCTTCACTCAGGGCTGTGAGGAGGTGTTGGAGCGTAAACATGAAACAATCACAACATAAAGCTTATTTATCTGATTCACTGCCTTGTTCTCACTAACGCCACTCTCTCTCTTCATTCAGTCTCTAGCTCGCTCAGCCACCACTGCTCTCGCTCTCGCTTTCTCAGACAATTCTGAATGGTGTGTTTAAACAGTACCCAACAAATCCTGTTCATTCTGCCTTTAGGGAGCTGAATAACGCCTCACTGTTAGATTTTTATAGGTAAAGTATTACACTTAACCCTTACTAAGCGGAGACACAACACCATCCACCCAACCACCAACCCCCACTTACAAAAGCATGTGTGCCTGATGGCACTAAAAAATAATTCAGTTGGCTATTGTAAAATTATCTGTGACTGGCTGCACTGTTCAGAGTGGATTCAGGGCAGGCAGTGAGATTTGGGCACAATGATAAGAAGAATGGCTCTGAAGTCCGACTGGGCTCCCTTCATTCTAACCAAAGAGCCGCTGAAAAGAACCGGATCATTGGTGACCGTAACATCACTAGCAGACAGACTCTTCTCTCCTGAGCAGCTGTAACTCCACTGTGGCTGTTTCTCCAACAGCATCAGTTCTGCTGTATCAGTTTGATCCAGAGTCGATCCTGAAAGTCAGGTCAGCGTCTCCACACGGTTACACTGAACACACTCCTCTGTGAGGGCGAGCAAAGCAGTGAGGACTGTTTTATGAGATGACGTCACCTTGTAACAGAGAAAAGGGCTGGAATTCCAACAAGGCGTTTCAGGCGGCTGAGAAAAGTGGTTTCTGTGGGACAGAGTTTCTCCCTCTGATGTGAACTTTGTAGATTGTTTACATGAACAAAAAGCATAAAATGTCTTTAACTTAAGTATCATGTTCACATTTAGTGACGGCTTTTCCAAAAGGGACACCATGAGAATTGATCTTAAGTCTAAGCCAAATTTACTTATATAACGCTTTTTACAACAGGTGTTGTCACAAAGCAGCTTTACAGAAAAAAATCTGTGCCCAAGCCCCCATGAGCGTCGCCAACGGCGACAGTGGCAAGGAAAAACTCCCTAATAGCACGAGGAAGAAACCTTGAGAGGAATCAAGACTCAAAAGAGGAACCCATCCTCCTCTGGTCGACTGATAGCAAACAGCATCAGTATAAAATATTAGAATACAAAACGGGAAAAACAGGCGGAGCAAAGGTTAATTAAGTAACATTGGGTAAACACTCATCGCCAGGTCTGACTAACACATGCCACATATACATACACAGGTGAGTACTGAGACTAAAAGCATCAGGTGTGGGGGACACTTGTCACTTATTAGATTTTTCTAGGTAAAGTATTACACTTAACCCTTACTAAGCGGAGACACAACACCGCCCCCCCCCCCCCCCCACCGCCTTACAAAAGCAGGTGTGCCTGATGGCACTAAAAGAAATTTCAGTTGGCTATTGTAAAATGATTTAATCTGGAGTTTAGGTTACTTCCCTGAAATCTGGAATCATACCCTAATATCACTAATATCATCTTTAAAAATGGAGATAAATTCGACCCTAATAATTACCGAGGCTCCCGTATGAACAGTAATCTGGGGAAGTTCATATGTAATATCTTAAATTCTAGATTTTTCATTTTCCTTACTGAGCACAAAGTCTACAGTAGAAGTCAATTTGGATTCTGACCAAATTACCACTGATCATATTTACACCCTGCACACCCTACTGATAAATATGCTGTCTAAAATAAACTCTTTTACTTTACAAAGCCTTTTGATTCCATTTGGCATTAAGTTTTATTTTATTTTTTTTATTTTTTTATTTTTATTTATTTGAAAGTGGTGTAGGGAGTAAAACATACAACCTAATGTACACAAGAAACAGGTGCAGAATAAACATTTGCAATAAACAAACGAATTCCATCTCTCAGGAGTGCGGAGTGAGACAGGGCTGTTGTTTAAGCCCAACACTATTTAATAATTATATTATTCAACTGGTGAAAATATTAGAACGATCTACAGCCCCTGGTCTCACTCAGCAGAACCTGGACCTGCTGGAGCAGTACTGACAGACCTGGGCCCTGACAGTAAACCTGAAAAAGATAAATGTAAAAGTATTTCAAAAAGTCCCAGATGTATTAATACATATTAATATTAATATATAAATGTTCTGCACTGGACCTGTCCAGGGTGTATTCTGCCTTCTGCCCAGTGACAGCTGGGATAGGCTCCAGCACCCCACCGTGACCCAGAAGGATAAATGGTTTAGATGATAGATGGATGGATGTTCTGCACTGTTCTTAAACTCCTTACTAAGGCTTTGGCAATACAAGTGTTAATATTTGTCATGCCAATAAAGCAACACTGAATTGAACTGAGAGAGAGAGGGCAGTCATGTTTCA